GATCTTTCAAGCCAACTTCTGAAGATTGCAGAGAGTTTGAAGGGTAAGCGTGTAGTGACTCGGCTCCTAAACTTCCTACTTCGAGGCATTGATATAGTTATTTCCCATGCTAAGCAGTGTCCTTTAAACGAAAAATGGAGACAACATTTCCTAGTTCAAACTTTCGTACCATCCGCTTTATTATCATGTGCTATGGTCAAGTGTATCGGACAAACCTTTTCTCAAAGGCCCATCAGGCCGAAAAGTCATATTTTATTTTTTTAAATGACAATCAAAACTCTAAGACAGTTTTCAATTTAGTCCTCCGTCCGGCGACACGGCGATCGATGATAGAACCCAACGGCCGACTTATTTGATTAACATACAGCAACATTGAGATAGAGACTAACTTAACCCTTTGACGGACGCCATGAAGCAATGGACTTCCGGCTCGGCCACTAAACTTTATAGTTCATACCTCCTTCCTAAGTTATTGCTTTTGTTTTAATTCTACTGAACTGCCATACTAATGTATTTTTCTTTTCTCCTGGAACCCCTCCACCCAACTGTTGCCTGTTTTTGTTTTTCTGTTTGTTGTTTGCATTTGCTTTGTGTGTCGCGGCATTCCCCTTGCCACTTTGGTGACTTTGTTGCATGCTTCTTCCTCTTTGCACGCTTTTCCGTTTCGCTGTTTGAATTTGGCTAACAGAGGGTCCTCGTCTAGTCATGTACTTCCGTGCCAGTAGCCCAGAATGCAAGTTTTTTAACACCGCTTCATCGCTTTTCATTTTACTTTCTGTATTACAGCATGTTTGCAGCCTTTCAGCAGGCCAAACCTGCGTTTTGACGTAGTTTTCCTTCCCCCAATGTCTGCATGCTGACGCAGTTGATGGTTATGTATTTGATCTGAGAAGATGGAAGCTCAAGGGTACCAGGATAATTCGTCCTAGTTAGAAGAACCGTCCACGGGTTCTCTGACGTAGCCTGTATTTGAACAAGACAAAGATCACGAGGTTAGCAGGATTTATTGACGTCATAGTTTCGCGATCTCTTATTGAATTTCAAACGGTCGTTGCCTATTAATAAGATAAATAACTGTCCAATTAAGTATCGACATAGAAAAGTGAAACTTGATAGGTAAACAGAGTAGAAGCTATTAGTCTTAGATGTGGGCGCATGGTAAGGGGTAGAGGAGGGGGGAGGTAGTTGTCACAACATGGCACTTCATGTTCATGAAATCCTGTAGGACGTGGGTAAAGGGGGGGGAGCGGATGGTAAACTACAGAACAGGGGTCGGAATTTCTTCCTTTTGACTTCACCTAACTGCCCATTTAGGCGGAAAGTAAAATGCTTAACCCATCCCCCCCCTATCTACTATTGGAGAGCTGAGATTTATTTCGGTCTCGTGCTCACGTTTTTACCCTTTATCCTCTGGGGTTTTTGCCACAAGCAACCGAGTCTGACAATCACCTGTACCATTTATACTGCTTTTTGCGAGCCGATCGTCTCGCTGATCCTCAGGCAGTAGGGGAAGGAATATTGTGCAGCAACTCTCAGATGTATCCTAGTTGGGGGTGAATGCGTTATATGAATTTGTGCTTTCCTATATTCGCTTGTGCCCCCGCGTTAACGTAGTGTTTGCTTCACCATCCGGGCAGTGTGTTGCATGAAGTCTTTCTTGTCCTGTTGACAATTATTCTCTAACTTCGCCACCATTTCACTTTCTCGTTTCTGTAGGGCGAGATGTTGCTGAGAAATTTCTCGGCCGTCATGTCGCCTTCCATCATCACTATCTGCCCGGCTACGGTAAAGGTAGGTTTCCAGCTCCGTTATCGGCCCCAATTCTATGATTCTTCTTCTTCTGCTCGTTTTATTACTTCAAGTTTTATCTTTTCGATTCTCCTAGAAGGCAGTAGCGCTGGATCGACACGTTTCGCCAGCCACCAGACAAGTTGCCTGCAGATGCGCTTGGATTCCGTCGGACGTGTTGTGGTCGGTGAGGGGGCCTCCAGTGAAGCTGAGAAGCGAATAGACGCTGCTTTACAGCGTCTAGAAGATGGTCTCAACCAGGTAACTTTATTCCCTCGCCGTATTGATAACCGCGATATCACCCAAACCACCCTGATTGGTCGCCTTCGATGAGATATGTTTGGGTTACTTGGTGCCGCACCCACTTATCGTCCCACCGGTGAC